GATCCCTGCAGCCACATCCACACAGGGACACTTCCCTGGAGCAGGGGCTGGCAGGATCCCTGCAGCCACATCCACACAGGGACACTTCCCTGGAGCAGGGGCTGGCAGGATCCCCGCAGCACCTGCCCTGGCAGCAGGCACGGGGGCAGGGGGTCGGTAGGCACAGCCAGTACACCAGCAGGACCAAGCACACAGAAACTGCATTATCACTGGGGTTTTTTTCTTTTTTTAAATTTTGGTTTTGGTGGTTTTTTTTTCTTTTCCCTCTCCACACTGTCATTCAGGAGAGAAGATCCTGTTTAATGGATTCCAGCTTGCAGGTCACAGTGATCTCAAGTAATAATGAAATGCTTCAAGATGTTGTCATCCTGTGCCAGAGCAGAGCCGGCAGAAGGCATTCAGTGTGTCACCTCCTCCTCCTCCTCCTCCCCCGCCGTGAGAGCCGCAGGGCTGCCAGGCTGTACCCCAACAGCGACGGTAATTAACCAGCGGTTAAAAACAACTGCTTGGAGCCTGGGAGCAATTTCAAATGCTCTGCCTCCACCGTGGGAGACGCTACTGTGGGCAATCACAAGCCTGCCTGTTTGTAACAATTGCCTTTATACCGACATCCAAACCAAATGTAAAACAGACCAGGCAGAACAGGTCAGGGTGACCCAAAGAGCTGAAGGAAAAAGAAGGGGGGGGTGTTCATATTAGCATTAATTTTGTCAGTGTGTCCTGCAGAAGAAGGTTACACTGATGTATGTCTTCTCCTACATAAGGAAACTTCACCAGGAAAAAGCACTTAAAAATAAGCTAAAAACTGGGGATTAGGAGTGCATTACCTTTCAGGACCATTGGGAAGAAACAAAACTAAACCCTCTGCTCGTTGGTGAGCCACAAATCACAACCACTTCAGTAACAAGTCCTTCAAGACAGCGTTGTGGCAGCCCAGCAGCCCCGGGAGACTCAGCCCATCCCAGCAATGGGGTCAGGATTTAACCCAAAACACTGGCACATCTGAGCAGCCTGGGCTCCCCACTGCCCACCCAAGCTGTGCTGGAGCTCCTCCCTGCACGCCCATAACAACCCTCAATCCAGGGCTTCCCAGCAGGGGGCAGGTCCCTCAGTCCCCTTTTCCAGGGTATTTTCTTCCTCACTCTACATCACGGAATCACAGGATGGTTTGGGTGGGAAGGACCTTAAAGCTCATCTTGTTCTACCCCCTGCCATGGGCAGGGACACCTTCCACTAGCCCAGGTTGCTCCAAGCCCTGTCCAACCTGGCCTTGGACACTTCCAGGGATGGGGCAGCCACAGCTTCTCTGGGCAACCTGTGCCAGGGCCTCACCACCCTCCCAGGGAAGGATTTCATCAAATCAGCTCAATGTGGAGCCACCCACTGTAGTTTCCAGATTTTGCACAGAAAACCTCAGATTTTGGATATGGCCACTCTGTCAGGTTTTGGTAGGGCTACAGGTTTGGGAACAGAGACAAACAGCAACAAGGACCTTCACCAGGGACACAGGGACGGCTTCCATCCAGCGAAGGAAAACACCGGGGCTGTAATTTCACCAAGAAATTGCCCCTTTCTGCCTGGGAAAAATCCCATCGAAAGAGGGGAGTGCTCTGCTCTGAGGCTCCAGGAGTGAGAACCAGCTCACTTGGCTGTTTACATTTTTTCAGATTAACAACATTAGAAATCAGAGAAAAGAATGTTTTCTGAAATGCAAACAGAAATTAGTGAAATTCACAGTTCTGGCGTTAGAACCCTGCAAATGCTTCCTGAAGCTCATCACGCTCCATCAGCCTCATTTTGCAGCCATTTACTGACTGCTCACACACTGAGTGATGTGCAGGGACCTGGGAGGGGACTCTGACCATACCTCCGAGTGTCATCCCGGCCTCGTAGCACTTCCGCAGGCGGCAGGACGGGCAGTTTTTCCTTCGGAACTTGTCGATGGTGCAGTCGTTCCGGCTGGCACACAGGTACTTCTGTTTGCCTAAAACACCAGAGAAACGGAACATGGGTGCTGGGTGCTGATGGGAGAAAAGGGCTCGGGCTTTTTCGGTATCGCCAGGGGCAGTGGCATGAGGAGAAGAGAGGGAGAGGGATGGGAAGAGGGGGAGAAGGAGGAGAAGGAGAAGAAGGAGGAGAAGGAGGAGAAGGAGGAGAAAGAAGGAGGAGAAGGAGATCACATCAGTGCTGGTTTCCCAGTGCACTCTCTAGAAAAAAACTTATGTTGGAAGTTGGTATCTTTTGGGAAAACAGTACAGTTCTGCCTTTGGTGCTGCAGGAGTGGTTCATGGCCAGACGTTGCTCCCCAAAATGCAGCTGGGTCACTGCTGTTTCACCACACTCCAGCATCCCTGCCCTGCACTGCTGCCCTTCGCCCACACACAGCACAGGCTTTTAGACTGAGATCTCCAAGGACAAAATTCCTCAAAGACTGAAAACCCAGGCACTCTGCACAGTGCAGCACAGCAGAGGCAAACAATAATGCGCAATTAAAAAGCACTGAAATATGGAGAGTTGGGTTCTCATTTTTTAAATGTCATCCATCTATTGCCTGGCTTTTGGTGGTTTTCTCCCAGAACACCAAACCCCACAGTTTGATTTCCTGCCCTGACAGTTGGCCGAACACAGTTCCAAGACTCACTGTACAACTACAACTCTGTACAAGCTCTTTTGTGGCTGAATTACTTTTTGTGCCACCCATCAGTACCAGTTGGGTCTGTTGGCTGCAGGTTACAGACACGTGGGTTGGGGAGCTGCTGCTCTACAGGTGAGTCTGGTGCCACCCTATCCCCTGGGCTGCACCCACAGCCAGGCAGGAGGGAACTGGGACCAGTGACTCCTTGCAAAGGGGACCTTGCACAGCCACGGGTTTTGGGGGCTTGCAGAAAATTCGGAAGTTACTTATTGTAGGACTAACCCACACCTCAGACTCACCCTCCTCTCACTCAGAGAGCAGCCCATGCAGATCCAGACCACAGCTTTTTTGTTCACTGCCCCATTTGCTAGACAAGCCACAAATGAACTGTTCTTCCTGACTCATCACTTGTTTCCTTGTCAAGTATAAACACATTTACTGGATCAGGATTTATCTGATGTTCTTCAGATCATTCCAAACTAAACCAGGCTCAGCCCATAATAGACAGGTGCAGCTCACAGACCCAGGGGCAATCCACATGGGAAACCAGCCCGTGGCCTTTATTATCATCCTGCGAGGGTTTGCTTTTTGCTTTCCTATAGGAACAGCCCTTTGGAGTCATCAGAAATCTGCTAACAGGACGAGGCTGAATTCAACCCCTTAATGTATGAGCTTTGACAAGAGATGCACCAATTTTGGTGCACAGATTTAATAACCCCACCTCCCTCACACACCTCCACCACTGCTGCCCTCACTGGCACTGCCTGTGGCTTCCCCAGTGCCCTCCCGGGTCCCTCCACTCTGGCCCGGCAGGACCAGCCACTCTGTCACCCCACAGACCCCTGTGCAGGGGCACAGCCACCTTTGCCACCCCACAGACCCCTGTGCAGGGGCACAGTGAAGCCCCCACGGGGCTCAGCACCTGGTCTGTCCTCTCACAGCACCCAAGGGCTGCACAAACACCCTTCTTCAACCTTCTCAGAACCATCCCCTTCAGAGTGGATCATCACCTGCCCCCGCGGCATTACCTGCACTATCTGACATTCTTAAACCCTTTTAACTCTGTCCTCAGAGAAGCTCTTCTCACCCCCTCCCCAGCTCATTTCCCATGTGAAGGACACCCAGGGAAATCTCAATGACACCTAAATGTCAAGGGGCCCAAGCACCATCTTGCCTTTCAGCAGTTCATTGAGGAGGATGAGTAATAAACAACTTGAGCTGAAACTGGGTTACCTGGAGTTATTTTTGTGCTGAGCACTGAGCACCAGGCCACACTCCCTCCCCTCAACCTCTTCAGGTGCTCACATCAATCAGGAATGGGCACCCTACTTTCTGAGGTATGGAGAGCTGGAATGAGATTTGACTCCTGCCCTATGACAACAGTGCCTGATGCTGGAATGCTCCAGAGCTCATCGAGCCACCACCAATGAGCTCCAGCCCAGCCCACGGGGCCACCCCAGTGCCTGGCCGAGGCTGAATGGATGCAGTGACCAGTGCTGCCCCAGGAGCACCCACATGGCCCCCCAGCTCTCCCCTCAGCTCCTGTTCCAGCCCTGTCTCACCTCCCTTCTCTAAACTACAGCATTTTTTGCAACAATAATAGCTCAAAATCTTCCCAAAGGTCAGGCCTCTCCTGGGAAGGGCCTAAGCAAGTGGCACCACTGCTGCCTGAGCCCCCAGGGACACTCCAGGGTCAGGCACAGCTCGCCCTGAATTCCCCTGTGCCAGAAGCAGCGCCCACCAGCCCCAGCCCGTTCCTCATCCCTGGGATTCGAGCTGCATCCCAACATGTGGGCATCTCCCCCACCCCGCTCTGTGCCCCCAGGCACCCACAGGAGGGGAGCAAGGAGACGGATGAGATCTGGGAGTGGGGTCCAAGCTTTGCTCAGTGAGGCAGCCGTGCTGTTCTCCATCAGCTCCTCAGCAGCATTTGCCAGCCCTGGCACTGCTGGGAAGGGACATGGGGAGGGAGCCTCTCCCACCGGCCGGGAGCAGGTGGGGTGCCCAGTGCCCAGGTGACAAACTGAGGAGTCTGCAGGGTGGTTGTGCCTGGCATGGGCTCGGAGCAGCACAGGCTGTGGCCATGGCCATGGTACAGTGACATTACTGGGTGGCCAGGGCAGCTTCCTGCTTTGTGGAGGCTCTTTGGGGCAGGAGCCCCTTCCCTGTTGCCTGAGCCTGCACAGGGGAGCCCTGTTTGCTTTAGGCTGTTCACCAGTAACAAAAAGGGAAACAAACAGCCAGGGCAGGTCGTGGGGCTGCTGCTGCTCCCTGTGAGGATGAGCTGCTCACCTTGCCCACCTCATCCTAATTCCTGGGGGTGCAGAGACTCCCCTCCTAACCACTAGGGAAGGAGCCACCATCTGTAAAAGCCCAGAGAACTGGGAAGGGTGACTGGGACATAGATGGGTTCCTTCTGTATGAAGTAACTTCTCGCACACCTGTTTCTAATTTCAGGGTAATTCCCTCTCTTCATTTCAGAACTGGAGACATTTGCAATCAGCTGTTCTTTATTTGAAGATAAATGTGCCGGTTTTCCTTCTCTGGAGTTTAACTCTGGAAAGACTTTTTCATCTCCTTTTCTTCCCTGCAAACAACGACTGCATTGTGTCACTGCAATGCAGAGGGTCTTGTTTTGCAAACCTGTACACACAGGTCAAACCTTACATCCACTCTCTGGTGTTCTCCACTCTTTGCAAGGCCCATCTCCCAGCACTGGCAAGGTGTCTGCCCAGAGACCACAGCCCAGCTGAGGACACTGCAGATGTCACCCTGAGAAGTCCCTGCTCCTCCCCTGGAGCCCAGGTCCCGTTTGACACGTACACAGGTGAGGAGGGAAGTCACAAAGGCACCCAGCATGCTCTGCCCTCCCAGACCAGCACAGGCACCGCAGGAGAGCCTCTGTTCCTCCAGTGCCCTTTCAGTCTGTGGCACCCTCCACCATGAACGTGCTGCTGTGCCACTGCCCCCCTCGCTGGGAACAGCTCATCCTGTGCCACCTCACCCCAGGCAGGAAGATTCTTGCGCCACCTCCAAGCCCCTCCCGCCCATCCCCTGGGACTGCAGTGCACACCCAGAGCCAAGGGAAAGAGGCACTTTCCAGCCTTGACTAAAAATAGTGATTTATGGAGGAGAGTTGCTCAATCCAGAGGAATTATCTAACTAACAGCCTGCAGGAATTATCTAACTAACAGCCTGTTGCCACACGACCTGTTTTGCCCAGAATAACTTTTTCTTCTAGACAGCAAAGTAATCTGTGCAAACATCTGGAGTAAGATTTATGACTGTAAATGTGAAAACCCAGTAAATGCCTTTTGGAAGAGAGATACAAAACCCAGTAAATGCTTTTTGGAAGAGGGAGATCCTTGTATTTCAGGGCATAAACAGAATTCTAAGAGCTGGGGGATAAGGCCAAGCTTTCTGTGAAAGTGAGTCCCCCAGGGCCTCGTGTTACCACTGAAGCTCCAGCGCTTTCCTGGGAAACCTCTGGTCCTTGGGCTGACACCAGAAGGGCCATGCCCAGAGCTGAGCCCATGGGTTTGGTGCTGGCACCACTTCCCACAGGATGCCCCCATTAACAACCCAAGAGGGCTCAGCCACGAGGCTCCCAGGAGGCAGCACTGAGCCACTGCTGACCAACTCCCTTTGCAAAGTCGTTTTCTGAACAGTCCTCTGTATTTACCAGATGGCTACAGAGAGCACGAGGAAAGCATCCAGACCTTCCTCAGCTCTATTCATCCCACCTTCTGCTCTCCCTATGGATTTTTAAGGCACATAACACCAAAACAGTCATGAGAAACACACCACTGAAGCAGGAGCATCGTGGTGCTGCAGCACCACCAAATCTTCTGCAGAGCTGACTTGTTTGCGTGTCAGATCAGCCCAAGAAGGAGGAGAAAGCATTTCGAAACATGGCAAGGGACTTTGCAAACATTCACTTTAACTTGATGTCATCTTGAAATCTGGCAAGACACTGCTGAGTTGGCCCAGCGACATCTCTCTGGTGCAAGGCTAATCCTCAGCAGGTCAGGACATAGAACACTAATCCATATGGAGACTGATGGAGGCAATCAGAGCAGCCTGCACAGCAGCCTGGCTGGGGGCCCACTAGGAAAATTGCCAAATACTGTGTTATTTTTTTCATTCAGCTCTCTGCTATTTAAAGGCAGCCCCATCAGGAACACACTCTAAGGCATCCCAGTCCTGCACTGCCAGGAATGTTGTGCAGAGGCAGTTCTGGGCTGGCTCAGGTGGCCACCAGATCTCAGCAACCTCAGAGGGATGTGGAAGGTTTGCCACTCTCCAGGGGTGGATGCAGGGACAAGGACAGGACGGGGACAGGAAGCCCTGGGCTGCTAATTGAAACAGAAGCTGTTGTGTTTGAAGCATTTTTCTGTTTCAGGGGTAAGGGTGGCATCACGAGGACTGAACTCTGATGTCTTCAACCCACCCCAGCCAGCCTAACGATTCCAAGAGGTGCCTTGCCCACTCCTGCCTACTTGTGTCAAGAAAAGCAGCACCTGTGCTGAGGTGGGTGAGCTTTTAGTTCACCAAACGAGTAGGAGGAGGCCTCCTTTGTGGGCAGCAGAGGAGCAGCAGCCCAGCTGGCCAGGCAGCCAGCCCCAGCCCTCTGGACCCTCCAGACCCTCTGTGCTGGGACCCCCAGGTGGTTGACAGCAAGGAAGAGCCCCACGCTGGGTTTGGTCACCAAACAGGGGCAGTCATCCTGCAGGGGCAATCTGCAGGGTGTGCTTCAGTGCTGTCCTAGACACAGCCTGGACATCTCGGGACAGTCCATGAATCAAGAGAGCTGGCAGAATGAGATCAGGAGAACAATCCTGCCTTTTCTGTTACCTCTTCCAGCATCTTTTTGGATGAATCAGTTGAACCTGAGCTTGTGAAAACCCTCAAATCTATCAACCATTTCATCAAATCTGGGGTAAGAAAGCACTGCTCCTGCTGCAAACCCCTCAGCGTGTCCAAAGGGAAGAATCAGCCTCACAACTTTGTTTCTAAAATCTTTTCCCTTTCTCTCCACCAGCGCATTTCTATAAAACCTCCTTAAATTTTGGGTCTTTTGACCACGGGATGACTTACTCAACACCTGGTCTCCTGACACCTGACAGGATGCACCTTTCTCAGAGGGGAAAAAGAGTTCTAGCACAGGAGCCAGCGGGGCTCGTTGACAGAGCTTTAAACTGGCTTGGAAGGGGGAAAGGGACAAAACCAGGCTCAGCAGTGATGAGCAATAGGATGGTGTGCCAAAGCTTGAGAAAATCAGCACTCATGGGATCTCTCAGTCTGCCTCAAGAGGTGTTGGCTACAATGTACCACACCTGAAATGTTTCTACACCAATGCAGCAGCACGAGGAACAGACAAGAGGAGCTCAGAGCTTTGGCCCAGTCCCAGAGATTTGACATCACTGGCATAAGTGAATCCTGGTGGGATGAGCCCTGTGACTGGAGTGCCCTGTTGGATGGTTACAGGCTCTTCAGGAGGGATGGGCAGGGCAGAAGAGGTGGAGGGTGGCACTGTGTGTAATGGAAGGGTTAGAATGTCTGGAGCTCACAGTTGGCAATGGCACAGTTGGGAGCCTCTGGGTAAGAATCAAGGCACAAACAAACAATGCCAAGGTCACCGTGGGAGTCTGGTACAGACCTCCCAGCCAGGACGGTGATGCCAACAAATTATTCTTTGAGGAACTAAGGGACACTTCCAAATTAACTGCCCTTGTCCTAAGGGGGACTTCGACTTGCCATAAATCAACTGGGAGCATCTCACAGTGGTACAACTCGGTCCAGAAGATTCCTAAAAAACCTGGATGACAACTTAATGGAACAGCTCCTAAGGGAGCTGACTCAGATAAATGCCTTCCTGGATCTGCTGCCTGTCAACAGACAGGATCTGATGAGAGAGGTGGAGGTTGGGGCCGTCTTGGCCACAGTGAGTACGAAGTGATCGAGTTTAAAATCTCTGTTGACAGAAGGAAAAGTGCCAGCAAAACCTCAACTCTGGACATGAGGAGAGCAGAATTCAGGCTTCTCAGGGAATTAGTAAGGAATGTTCCCTGGGAAAATGTTTTTGCAGGTGCTGGGGTCCATCGCTGCCAGCCACGTTTCAAACGTCACCACCTCAGGGCACAGGAGCAGCAATTCCCAAATGCTGGAAGTCAAGCAGGCGAGGTAGAAGGCTGGCTTGGCTGAACAGGGATCTCCTCTCAGAGACAAGGCAAAAAAGGAAGTTGTGTGTCCAGGGGAAGCAAGGTCAAGTGACATGGGAAGAATACAGAGAAGCTGCTTGCCACTATAGGGAGAAAATCTGTGTGGCCAAAGCTCAACTGGGGTTGAAGCTGCCAGAAATGTGGGGGGCAATAAAAAGAATTTTTTCAAATATATTAATGGCAATAGGCAATATCATCACCGTTCCAGGATGAGGATGGTCACCTCCCACACAGGGACAGAGACAAGGCAGATGCGTTTAATGCTTTCTTTGTCTTCAACAAGGATGATGGACCAAGGGGGTCTCAGTGCCCTGAGCTGCAGGACCGTGACTGCAAGAATGATCAACTCCCAGTCGAGCCTTAAATTGTGCAGGATCTGCTGCTCCAGCTGGATGCCTACAAATCTCTGGGGCCTGATGGGATTCATCACAGAATCCTCAAAGAGCTGCTGATATCATCACAAAACCTCTTTCAAAGATTTTTGAATGGTCTTGGGAATCCGGGGAGGTCCCAGCTGACTGGAAGCTGGTAAAAGTTGTCCCAGTTTTCAAGGAGGGCAAGAAGGAGGACCCTGGAAACTACAGGCCTGTCAGTCTCACTTCAGTGCCTGGTAAAGTTATGGAGATTATTCCAGGAGGTGTTGAAAAACACCTGAAAGACAACACAGTAATTGGTCACAGCCACCACAGCTTCATGAGAGGAAAGTCCTGCTTCTCAGACCTGATTTCCTTCTATAACAAGGTGACCTGCCTGGCTGATCAAGGGAAGCCAGCTGATGGGATCTTTTTGGATTTCAGTAAAACTTTCGATACTGTGTCCCCCAGGATCCTTCTGGACAAACTGTAATTAAATATGCCCGAATCCCTGCCAGATAAGTTCAGTATTATGTTAGGAGAATATAATAAAAGAGAAACAATGTGCCCAGCTATTTCCCTCCCCTCCAAGGTGCTGTTTGTGCTGCTCCACTCCCAGCCCCTGCTGCTCTCCCCATCAGCAGCTGCAGTTTGAGACCAGCACCAGGAAGGTAACAGATTTCTTTTCTCATGGGGAAATGTTCTGATCTGCTGTTCTAAAGCCTCCTAGGGTGATCCAAGGTTTCCAGATATGCATTTTATGGACTTTAAACCATGAGAATGCACTGAAATATCAGCTTTGAATACTGCTCCTCAGCTTTGAGAAGGAACAATCTGGCTGGACAGTCATCAGGCAAGAGTTAGGACAGAAACCTGCCCCTGCCCTGCATTCAGTACCCATAATGGAGCCTGATTTATTGTCTCTCCCCCCCAAAGAAAGACTATCCCTGTAGCTCAGGGTAACATAAGATGAAAGCTCACACTCCAGCAGGTGCCCCTGCCCCTCCCTGCACGTACACGTGGCTCCAGGCCAAAGAGTTGTTGCCTGATTCCATCATGGCCAAACACTTTTAACCCTCTGCCATACTGCAAGGCTGAAGAACCAGGAAGAGGCATAAGTACCATTTAAATTAATGATATAACACAATCAGGAAAGGGAACAACCCCACAGCACATGCCTGTGGAGCAGTGTGAGCAGCCCAGGCTGCCCCTCTGCCCCGTGGGCACCTCCAGCCCCTGTCACCCACAGGACAGAGCCCACCCAATGCCAGGGGCCTGCAGCTCCAGCACCAAGCCACAGACAGTTTATCTGACTGAGAGCCAAGACTCCACTTACTATAAATCAACAACAACTTGCTGACTTAAACAAGCATCTGTTATTTACTCTGGCTGCATAAGCCAACCCACTTGGCCTGACACAGACTGATGTGCAGCAGAGACAGATCTGCAAATTATTTACTTGGGAGAAATATGCCAAATTTATTAACTATTATTTGACCGCCCTTTCTGGCAACAGGACACTGATGTCCCCTGTGGCACAGCTCCCATTCTTCCCTAAACCAGCATTGGCAAGTTGGCTCCTGGCACACTCCAAACCCAGGCAGGATAATGATAATTGGTCTGGAAGCATCACTGTGACAACAGCAGGTGAGCACCCCCAGCATGGGATCTCTGCTCCCAGAGGGGAGAGGGTGGGCACAGGGGGAGATCCCAGTTAGACAGAAGCTCTGTCCCCATCACTGCTGCCAGCCAAGGACCACGGGGCCTCCCTCTGCCAGGGACACCACGGCTGCTGACACTGGCTGCCAACAGCACGCACCATGGAAATTGTGTTAGCACCAAGGAAGGGGTGCTTGTGCTGGTTCATCACTCCTGAAAACAAGCCCAGTGAGTGATTACAGGCACATTGTATTGCTGGACAGTTAATCTTCCACAACAGAGACTCTCACTGGTGCCAAGGAACCACAACTCTGAACTGCAGGCAGAAAGCAGACATTGCTGAGCCCCAAGGAAACAGCTGGGCTAGGTCCTCCTGCATGCTCATTCCCGAGGAGACATGGTGCAAAGACCTTGCTGTTGAGAGGAAACATTTGGGCTCACATATAGTGCTGGAGAGCCTGGAACTACAGAGCTGGACACGAAGGAGAAGTTGCTCTCTCACGGGCTGGGGAGAAGGATCATGGACCCCGAGGTCAGAGCACAGTTCCTTGTGGACAGACAGATGTGCTGTTTTGCAGGCATTGACAAAAGTGACCCTCTGAAAGGGATGCAGGAGAGGAAAAGCCTTCCCCAAATTTGGAGTTGTGGGTCTGAGATCGCAGGTGGGCTGATGGGAGCTTAAAGCACTCCAGAGAGTCAAGAGGAGAAGCAGGAACTGACTGCTCTGGGGACTCACTCGGTCATTTCAGATAATCATGGAATCACAGAAGGGTTTGGGTTGGAAGGGACATTAAAGACCATCTTGTTCCACAACCCTGCCATGAGAAGCGACACCTTCCACTAGACCAAGTTGCTCAATGCCACTGAAAAGAATAGTGTTTTGGCAAACTGGTTTGGCTACTTTTTGAGGGCAATCTGTAATGTGGAATGACAAACACAGGACAAAGAAATCAATTTATCCTGGATTTTTCTCCTTTCCTGGTTTAAGAGGTCTTAGAACCCCACCATGCTGTGGCAGTGACCTTCCCTCCTCTCTGTCCCCATTACCTTCAGCCGCCCGTTTGAAGAAGACTTTGCAGCTCCCACAAGTGAGGGCTCCGTAATGGCACCCAGACGCTTCATCTCCACAGATCAGGCAGGTCTTCTGAGGTGGGAAGTAATAGTCAATGGGCAGGACATGGTCACGGCCAGTCTCCAACCTGCAGCATAAACCAGAGAGAACAAGGGAAGGGTCAGCAAACGTGGCCAAGACAAGCTACAGGGAGCATCGCCACGGGGCCTGGAGAACCCTCATGGCAAACCCCAAACTGAGGTGATGAACAAGCCAAGCACTGAGCAGCAGGCAGGTGAGCAAGGACTGAGCCAAACCTGGCTCTGACCACGCAGAGACCGTGCCAGGTGCCCCTCCTGACACTGCCCCGGGTGCAGTGTGTGACAATGTGTGACAAAGTGACAGCACAGCCCAGAGAGAGAAGGCGACTGAGCCGGGCTGTTGCAGTGCCCATGGAATTCTGGCTTCAGTAAGGAAGCTCGTACACCAAACAAGGCAGATCACAGTGCTGCCAACTGCCTAATGCCACGTGAAGCACCCAGCTGAGATGTCCTGAGAGCCCACCCCCTCCCCAAACAGCCCTTGTGCTTTCCCCACCTACATGCCCACATCCTCCCCTCTAGGCCGGCGCCCTTCTGCTGAACCCCTCCCCACCCTGATCTGATCTCTGATCAAATCCATGGAGAAGCTGCTTTTCCAGAGGACATGGCAGCAGGAGAGGGGCTTATCCAAATCAGGAGCCAGCATGCCCAGGCACTCTGGGGAGCAAGAGCACATTGAGTTATTTGCTAAAACTTGCTTTTTCTCCAACCACTGGATGAGGCTTCTAACAGTCTGCAGGTCACTGCAACTTTTGAGTAAAAATTAGATCCCTTTTGGTTTCTAGCATTGTTTGTTGCTTTCAGGTGGGTTCTGAGAAATCAGATTACATGAACAGTGAATGTAACAAAGATGGGACTTCTTGGAAAAAACCTTTATACCCAGAAAAGCCCCACCTGGGCCCACAGTAAACCCCAAACCCACCAAAACCAGATTTTTCCTTAGATATTCTAATTCTCATAACAAGAGCTGCTTTATTAGTCCAGATTATCCATCCCCTCCTGTTCTGCTTCCTGAGAGACATAAATTAAACTGAGGAGAGAGAGGTTTTAAATGGTTTTTATATGATCTGGGATGCTCAACTCCAACCCAAGACCAGGCTATCTCCAGAGGACCAGTGCAGTTTGCCCGTCACAGTGGGCAGGGCTCTCTGCCAAAGGACAGCTCTTTTCCAAGCCCTGGACAGCTCATCTCCAAGCCCGTCACACCTTGGGATTAAAACACAACAGGGGACAGCCACTGGTGATCTCAGTCTGCAGGGTGACCTTGCTCTGACCTCGCTGCCTGTCTGTCCCCCTGCAGTGCTGCTCCCTCCTTTCCCTCACCTGGGAGCTGTGCAGACCCCACCTCAGGCGCAGATCAGTAACTGGAGCAGCAAATTCACCCTCAGTGCTTAAGGCAGAAACCTTTTGAGTGATTTTTCATCTCTTTGGCAGCAGCAATCAGAAACCCATCTGTAGATGCTGCTCAACCACCCTTCCCCGACCATCTCCATTTCCAAGACTTTTCTTAAACTACTGATTAAATGAAGACACAATTGGCTGCACTGCGACTGCCACAGTCTAGTCCTGATGCAAGCAACGTCTCCCTGTCTCAGCCTCCCTGGCATACCGCCCACCCTCCTGGCATGATCCCACCACCCCGTCCCAGGCACCCCTGCACCCTCCCACACCATCACCCTGTGCCACAGAGCCCTGGCACCCTGGCTGCTGGGGAGCAGACCCTACTGAGGAATACCAGCAGCACGTAAAAAAGCTTGGCTAAAAATGTCTTATTTCCCCAGCATGTTTTCGATTCCCACAGAACCAGATCTTTCTGCTAATGACCCAACACCTCTGTTTTCCCCCCTGCGCAGTCAGAAATCTGACAGTGCATATTTCCCTGTTTCCATAAGGCTTCCATGCTCTCTTCCCCGTGCTCAGCACCGTGTGTGCCACAAGCAGCAGGGCTTCTCACAGCGGCTGTCCTGACGACAGACACAGGACCCCCCAGAACACCCTGGGGTTTTTGAGGATTAATTATCGAAAACTGAAAGCAGGTTCAAAATTGAGTGGCTTCTGAAACAGCTTTTAAAGAGCTGTTTCTGCACAGGAAGAGTTGTGCAAGTGCAGATACACCTTCCAGCAGGTGTGTATGGAGTGTGCCCCTCACGTGTGCCTGTGCCAGGGGTGGGGCTGGGTAGGGCTCCCCACGCTCCCTCTGTGCTCAGCCACCCTCGCCCCCATTGCTGCCGAGGGATGGAGCCTAGAGGGCACTGGCAGATGTGGAAGGTGGTTCTTGGCCATGGGACAGGCTCCTGTGGGTAAGGGGGCAGCCGTGGGGCGTGGGCAGCCCCGTCGGGGCAGGAGATGGTGTTCTGGCAGGTGGGGAGCAGCTCGGCCGTGGGCCCTGCAGCACTGACACCATTCCCAGCTGCCTCCCACACCTTCCCCACTGGCAGCCACTGCCCAGAGCTGAAGGACCTGCCCAGGGACGCCCTCAATTTCAAAATGATGCCAATTTACCTTTTCTTTTTTATTTTTAGAGAGAGAATTGCAAGAAAAACATAATTTAAAATGTGGGCAACTCAGAGTGAGCTGTGCTAATGGTTGCCTTAACGATCCACTTTCCAGTTTCCAAGAGACATTTCCAGGGTGTTCTCAGAATGTGCAGGTAATAAATAACACTGCAATGAGCCAAAGAGGTACCTGGGGAGGTTTCAGGGGCCGGTAGCACTCTGGGCAGAGCCTCAGGCACCACCTGCCCCAGGGTGCCAGCCCCTTGCCCCCGCGCAGGGCACACGAGGGGCAGGAGGGTGGCTCGGCAGCTGGCTTGCCACCTTTCCTCCAGGTGGAAATATGTACCCTGTGGGTCCCCGCTGGCTGCACCCACCCCCCAGAGCCGCAGGAGCGCTGAGGTGGAACCAAAACAAGCCCCGAGAGTGCTGCGGGGGGCTCTGCAGGCGGTGCGATGCACGGCGAGCGCCGGCCCGGCTGCGGAGCCCCGGCAGGGCGATAGCGGCGGCACAGACACAACTGGGCCGGGGACACGGCCCCAAGGCCAAGGTCAGGGCTCTCACAAAGGAGCTCGGCGGCTTTCGTGGCGGGAAAAAACAACCTCGGTCTCTCTCTTACAGCTGTAGGAAGAGCTTTACTGTTGTTTGAGAAGGCTTCTGCAAGGAAATGGAGAGTTTATTGAGCTCCTGCCACATGCAAATGTTTCTGGGGAGTAGAAACGATCGTTTTGCAATGCAAGCATGTGTTTGTCATTAGTTAAATTTCACCAAGCAGCCACATTTCACAACACATCCAGAAAGCCAAGAGCAAGCACAGGTAAGAGAGGAGCCAACCACTTCTGACCCACAAAGGAAGTTTCCACCTCAGCAACAGCCAGTACAGGGCACAACTGCCCCCTTGCCTGCAACTTCCCACCCCTAAGCCAGATCAGGATAAAGTGATGGCAGCTGCCATGTGCCCTGGCACGTCTGGCACAGGAACCCTGGAGTAGGGCACCCTGGTCCCACACCTTGCCCTCTGGGGAAAGGGGTAGAGGGTTTGCACCTTCATCACACTCTGTCCAGAACCTGCCTGTCCATGATGCTCAGGAGGACGCTGAGCCCAGAACTGAGCCAGCACTCACACGTGAACTCAGGTGACACAGAACCCTCTCCAGTCCTTTCAACTGCTTTCAACAGTCATTTCTGAGACACTCTAATACTGTCAGGAAGAAGTGCTGCCTTTAAAAAGGTATTAAAAGTGCATGACACCCTCAAATGCAGTATTAAAACTAACTAGCTTTGCCTCCTGCCTGGCCGAAGGTCTGTGACTCACACTGAGGGGCCAGAGCCACGCTCAGCACAGGGCACGACTGCTCACTTCGGGCACACCCTCATGTCCCCTTGCACTGTCATTTGGCTGCCACTGGCTCCAGCCAGTGTTGAGCTGAGCCTGTGCCCGCAGCCACCACACCACGCTCACCCACATAACAAGGCCTGCAGGGAAACTTTAAAGCATCTCATCTGTTAAAATGCTGTGAGCAATTCAATCTATGCAGCCGTGGACACTGATTTTATTTCCTTTCTTCTAAACAGCCTTGAGTGTGTTTCCAATCTGCCCGTGCCTTGTTTTCATGTGTGATGGCTGGCAGCAGAGGCACAACAGCATCTGAGAGCAGAGAAGGGCACAGTGTGAGCCACAGGCCTGGTAAACACACACGAGAACTGGATCATCACCAGATTTAATAAAATAAATATTAGCAGATGACAACGGGTTTTTCAAACATCCCAGCAATGGGAGCTGGCTGGAGGAAAATGCTTTGGAGAAGGAGAAGGTCCTTCCACTGACAGCTCTCAGGAGCAGGCTGGGCTCTCCAGCCCTGGCACTGCCTTCCAGCCTCGGGGGCACAAATAGCTTCCACAAGTACAGCTGCACAAATCCCTTCTCAAATCTCCAAATTAAACTCTGTTTTCTCTTTTCAAATACACTGTTTATTTATTTTGACAGTTTATTTTTCACACAGAGGATCCCCACTGCAGCCGAAGCCTCCCCACCCCCAGTCCCTGGCTCTTTTCCCTCCTGTTCTCCTCTGCTGTGTACAAAGGCTGCTGCTGCATGGAGCCAGCCACTGTTTGTCCTGCTCTCAGGAGACAGCCCCAACCTGCCAGCCTGACTGGCCAAGGCACTGCATGCCCTTTGATGGGATGGATGGCAGAGCCACAGCATAACCCAGACCTCTGGGGAGGCTCCTCATTTAACAGCAATCCTGGGCTCTCATCTTTCAGTCATCCCTAAGGAAGAAGCAGAAAAGGAGGTTATAAAGGTGAAAGGTGGCAAGTTTGCTACACCTGGAATGCAAAGCCCGGGCACAGCCACCCTGCAGCCTCTGCACCTCACCAGTGGCTGTGGCAGAGGCTGCTGCCTGCACTGGGGTGCAGCTGAGACCAAGACTTCTGCCTCGAAACCTGAGCTCCAGCCAGGAGCTCAGGGAGCAGCTTAAATAAATCAGCTCAGAGAAGAGCTGATTTCCCCAGACAGAGCGGGTACCTACAAAAAGAGACAGCACAAGTGCATC